TTTTCACGGTTCTTTGAAGGATTAAGAGGCGGGTCTGTGAGTAATATCTGACACTCAGTAGGATCTATCTGTTGACAGAAATTAGACAATATAATATTAGCAATCCGAATGAAACTATAATATCGAAATTGACAATCAAAGGCAGCAAGAGTTTACCTTTAGTTCACTGTAGAATGCATGGTCCCAGACATGGCCCATGTCATCCCAGTTTTGCACAATGCCATTGTTAACCGGGTAATTTATATCCAATTGATGCCGAAATTCGGCGCAAGCTTCTCCAACAATGACATCCTAAACGCATTTATAAAATTTAAGAAAAAAGGGCTCTCAGAGTCAGAACTCAGAACTAATCACTAAATCACAAGCTAATTAAGAAGATAATAAAATTCTTAACCTTGATTAAAGCTCGAACAGAAGATCAAATCTTGTAATGAAAAGATTATTAAAGTATCAACCTTGATTTCTTGTTCCATAAGTGATTCCTCATAGCGAAGCAGTGGCCTTCCAACTACGCAAGGGAACACAGAGGTGGGGAAGTTCTCTCCAGCAAATCCACATTTTACATACTGCAGATTAAATCAAACAAAATAAACAAAACCCACAAAATAAAGTATGATCCCAACACCCACAGATCCCAAACGGAGGTCAAAATTTGCCGGATCGTTGAAATCTTCCAACACAGATTAGAATATAAGTGCTTTTTCTGTATGTGTGAGGGAAAGCAGAAAAGCTAGCGAGAGGAGTTTACCCCGGTGCCATTGTCGCACACGACGACGTTTCGACTGTTCATGTTCAGCTGCTGCTGTTGAGAGTCTGCTGCTGTTTGTGCTGGTTTTTCGTCTACTGCATTTTCTTCAACCCGAAGTTCGTCCAACGGCAGGAGAGAGAGTGTGACGGGCTTTCTTCGTAGTTGCGAAGTTGGAAAAAAGCAGCCAAACAAAAACGAGGACGACGTCGTATCCATAATTTTTTGCAAGTGATGCGGTTTATTTTGGAACTAAACCAATTCTTTTCTATTACTTGAGGGAGGTTTATTTTTCTTTATTTATTAAAATATTTTTTTTTTCAAAAAACAATAGTATTAGTGTGTAAAATGGTTAGTTGTTGCCACTTAGTATTATTGTTTACTGATATTCCTTCATTTGTAAGTGAGGGGTCTTATGTTCGATTATCGCCAAAATCGAATTTGAACTATATTATTGTTAACTTATTGTAAGGCTAAGCTCACCATATTTCCCTTAGTGTAGATAATATCGTTTGTTAAAAAAAAATTGTTAATTGTTGGCAGGAGAGGGTGATCGGTGAAGATCAAATTTGCACCAGAGTGCATATGTATAGTTGTTTTGCGCCATTGCGATAAAGTCAGGGAGGTTATTACTTAATAAAGGTGTGGTTAAAAAATATTATATATTGACTTATTTATCCTTAATGAATATTGTGTTTCCTAAATAGGATTTCTTGGTCGCCAAGTATTTTATTTCTTAGACATATGTACTTGCAAGTTCAAAGACGTAACATCAATTCTAAAACTAAAGTATTGTTCCAAACAACTTTAGAGAAAATTTTAGTTCATCTTAAACTTTTGTCGGTAATATTACATATTTTTGTACTCATTGAAAATTATTAGTATATGGAGACGTATTTTCTTAATATGAGATAAAAAAAATTATAACTTATTGCAATGTGAAGTTTATTTCTATGCTGTATAGAATTGATCCCAAGTTGGGACTGTAAATTTTTATGACTTAAGGTTGCTCCTTTATAGAGATGATTGTGATATTTTACGTGATAATTTTAACACAATCATTTTTACTTCCCGCACAATTTGTTAGTTTTTTTTTTAATATTTGTTTGCTCTACCATCTCCTGTCTTAGAGGTTAGGGTTATTATAGTTAAGTTAAATTATGGGCCTCGGGTCCCATCCTTAGGGCCATATGCCCATATATTTATATTGGGTCTGGTTGTGCTTTACGATGCCCACAGGGCATCGCTTTAACTCAGCTGCAGGCCCAGCCCGTACAGTCACTGTTTGTTAATGTATAAATTGTGAGCCTTTCTTCTAGGGTTTACGCCGTTCAAAAGAGTTTCAGAGCTACCCAGCAGGTCGAAGCAAGCAGCTTCCGAAAATGGTGAGTATTTGCTCCCTCTCCGTTATCCTCCGCCTCCCATTCATCTCGGTTGCATGGAATCTTCCATTAATCATCGAGTCTTTATGTTCTACTGACATATTCATTTTTTCTCGACCTACATTATGCAGGCCCCCAAAAGAGGCGTAAAAGCTCCAGTCGCAGCTTCCAAGAAGAAGACAGTATGTATCTTCTGTTTCAATATATATATATATATATATATGCGAATATATCTTTATATTATATATGATGCTTTTGCGATTTGCTTATATGGTGATTGTGATGGGTGGCGCTGTGTGGTGATTTTTATAGGACAAGGTTGTGAACCCGCTATTTGAGAAGCGCCCGAAGCAGTTCGGTATCGGTGGGGCATTGCCACCGAAGAGGGATCTGACCCGCTTCGTGAAATGGCCCAAGGTGGTTCAGATTCAGAGGAAGAAGAGGATCCTCAAGCAGAGGTTGAAGGTTCCTCCAGCGTTGAACCAGTTCACCAAGACCCTCGATAAGAACCTCGGTATTTTTCGATAACTCTTGACCTTTTGCTTGCGTTTATTAAGCATTTTATCTATTTATGTTTTTGGGGTTTATCATTGAGAATGCGCCAATGACAAGTTTCTGAAATTGATCTTCATAGATGTGATGTGATGTTACAACCAATCTTTGCCACGTTACGTTTTCTAGTGTACATTTTACGGCTCAATGTAATTTGTTTCATTCTGTAGAAGACAATGTGAAATGATGATAGCTATTACAGTATTGTATAACGGATGTGCCGATTCGTTGCTGCGTTTCCAAACTGTTTTGTTATGGTTTTGTGATTGCATTGGTTGTTTTGGCTGTACAAAAGTGCTCAAATTATAATGTTGCTTGTACCTGTGTGCAGCCACCAGCTTGTTCAAGATGCTTCTCAAGTACAGGCCAGAGGACAAAGCTGCAAAGAAGGAGCGCCTTTTGAAAAGGGCCCAGGCCGAGACCGAAGGGAAAACTGTTGAGGCCAAGAAGCCTATTGTTGTGAAGTATGGTCTCAACCACGTGACTTACCTGATTGAGCAGGTCTTGTTCTCTGCCCTGTGCATGTGTTTTATGTTCCTTTTTACGACGTTTGCATTTTGAGTAACACGTTTATGCAACTGTATTTTACTTGCAGAACAAGGCCCAGCTTGTTGTTATTGCGCACGATGTTGACCCAATAGAGTTGGTTGTCTGGCTTCCTGCGTTATGTAGGAAGATGGAAGTCCCATATTGCATTGTGAAGGGCAAAGCACGGCTGGGATCGGTAATATATTCTTATATATCTGCATTATTTGATTGTTTTAAATCGTTTGTCTATATATATGGACTAAGAACAAACCTTTATTTCAGATTGTCCACAAGAAAACTGCATCAGTTTTGTGCTTGACAACAGTCAAGAATGAGGATAAGTTGGAGTTCAGCAAGGTCTTGGAGGCAATCAAGGTGGGATAGAATTAAATTCCTTGTGAAATTTCTTTAAGCTGTTGTTTGATTGCTCTATAGTGCGTGCGTTGTCCATGTTTTGATCGATCCCCTTGTTTAATCGTTGTGGTGTCTCACTTTGTTGCAGGCCAACTTCAATGACAAGTACGAAGAGTACAGGAAAAAGTGGGGAGGGGGCATCATGGGTTCCAAATCCCAGGCAAAAACTAGGGCGAAGGAGAAGCTCCTAGCGAAGGAAGCTGCTCAAAGGCTGAACTAAGTCTGGTTTTTGTATTTCTTCTTACCTAGGAAAAATTGTCGAGTCTGCTTCTAGATTCGTGAGTGTTCGAAGTTTATTAAGATCAATCGCCGAGGTTTTCTGTTTCCTTTAAATGCCGCAATGTTGTTTAGCTGTTTGGATTAGACTCAAAGGACATGCCGATTTTGGTACGGTTTTTGGAATATCTAATGATGACCATTTATATTATGTTGTATAATTTCAGTTTCTTTACCACAAACCTGGTGCTATATGCTTATTTCGTATAACGCCATACTTGAATTCTATTTTTGTATTCCTAGAAGAAAACGCGTGTTTTGTAACAGCTAAAAGTGTTTTTTTTTTTTATGTTTAGAAGCGGGTTTGGCTAAAAGTTCTTTCTGTGAATAGAAGCACTTTTGATCATGTGAGAAATTTGCTTTTCGATGATAGTGCTTCTTGGAGAGGAGTTTCAATAAGTTTTGATTTTCAAGAAAAATTAAAAGTGCTTCTTACATGTGATCTTTCAAAGGAGGTGCTTTTGAAATGTTTGACATTTTGAATGGCGACGGAATTCTAATTAGTGAATATTGAAAGGAAAATTAATGAAAAGAGTTTGAAAATTTTGAGTTTCAACGATGAAATTTTAATTAGTAAATGAAAAGAGTTTGAAAGTTTTGAGTTTTGACGATAATGATAAAATAAAGGATAAAATAAATAGTATCATAATTGAATTTTTAATGTAAAATATAATTTTTTGTTAAAATAAAAAATACTGATAATTTTTCGTTAAAATACCCAATCCCGAAAGGATAAGTACCACAACTTAAAAGTCATAATAATGAGTTTATTGATGTTGCCGCAGTAACCGAAAAAAATTGCATTTGAAGATTTACAAAAATTATTTTCCAAAACTAATAATTTGTTATATTGTAAAAAGTTTTTAACTGAAAAAACAAATTTCAGTCCCCCGATATATGCATATATAGATTTTTGCAAGATCTCCACAAAATTTACACTTCGCCTTTGCTGTTCTGATCATACCAACCCAAACCCTCACCCTCTCTCTTTATCTCCCTCCGCGACATCTCTCCCTCTCTCCTTCCCATTTGCCAACCCCGCAATTCCCCAAACCCTAGAAATCTGTCTCTCAGTCTTCCTCCCATTTCCCCCATCTGCAACTGCAAGTGTTCGCTTGCAGAGGCTAATTCCGCTTCCCCCTCTCTCTTGCCGCATCTCGAAGCACGATTAACTGCGCTCTCGTCTCCGTCATTCGCCTGCCAATCCTCTGCAATTCGAATCGTTTTGGTCTCCGATGGCGCACGGAAAAGTCAGTCTCCCTCAAGATCTCCTCCCCTCGAATCTGGTCGATTCACACTTCTCCGCCAAAGGTTTGCGTTCTTCTGCGTTTTTCAATCCGTATCTCTTCTCGCTGCATCAATTTTCTCTGTTGCTTCCGCATCATTTTCTTCCTTGCTCGATTTAAATCGCATTCAAATCTACACCTATATATATATATCTGTATTCTTTAGAACGTTGTGTGTTGAAAGCTTTTGGATGTTCTTGACATCGTTATTGCTTTGCTTTTCGATGTTAATTTGGGATAATTTTGTTGCCACGGTGCTCATGTTCTGTTCTGTCCATCATTATTAGTGCTGGTACAGTGCAAGAGTCTTTCCGTCTGTCTTCTATTAGCAGTTCATTGGAGTGTTTGAACACTGTTTTTTCCGCCTATTTTATTTTTACTTTCTATGGTGAACTTCTTGGATTTGTAAATCATGGACAATCTGATTTCGAAGAATGCATGTAAATATCTATCTTTTCTGTTTGCCATCTTAGATGAAGCCTTCCAAGGAAACAGTGAGGAGAAGGCGCTAGCGGGGTCCCTTGACATGTCAATTGGTGGTTGTGCTTCTTTTCTTATTATCCTTTGTTTTTCCCATGTTCAATTTTGTTCACCTCATTGGCTACCATTTTACTGTATTTTTCTTTATGATTTAAGTGTGAGCCTGCCAGTCATTTCGTTTAACATGGTCCTAATTGCAGATCAAGTTGCCTCAGACAGCAGCATCCCCTTGTCTCCCCAGTGGCTGTATGCTAAACCAGATTCCAAGACACTAGCAACTGGAGCATCAGAAGTATGTACATTTTAATTCTTCTCCGAAATTTCTTGTGCTGCTGTTAATTATTTAAAAGTAATTTGAAATAAAACTTAAATGTTAGTGTGGGCTGAACAGACAACTAGATTTACATTTCTAGCCTTTGATATCTTTACCCCTCTAGTGATTGCTGTCAGAAAATACTTTGATATCTTTACCCCTCTCTCTCTCAGGAGACCATAGTTTGCTGAATTCTACTAATTTAAATGCACTATAGTGGTTTTAAGCCTCTCAATTTGCGTTTTGGCCTATGCTTGTGGGGATTATCTTAATGTGTTTTAAGCCGTGTATCTGATCTAGTGGTTGAATTGAAAAAGGACAATGAGTTGTGATAGGAGTGAATTATTATGTTTTCAACAATGATTGGAAGGATGTAGATGTTGTCTCTGTAAATGACTATAATTTGCCTTGTTTGCTGCTGTCATTATCTGTTTCTGAATACCGATAAAATGACAGGAATTGCATGCAAATGATTCTCTGTCTCATGGAAACTCAACTGATCCCAATTCGAGAGACATTTGGCGTGTAGATGGATCTCAGGAGAAAAAAGATTGGAAGAGGAGTGCACCTGATTTAGATAGTAGCCGCCGCTGGCGTGAAGAGGAGAGAGAAACAGGCTTACTTGGTAGGAGAGATCGAAAGAAAGAAGATCGCCGTGTAGGTGCTAGTGTAACGAGGGATGCTACTGAGAATAGAGCAGAAGATCACCGTGTAGGTGCGACTTCAACTAAGGATGCTGCAGAAAATAAAGTATTGTCTTCTGACCGCTGGAATGAATCCCGAAGAGATAACAAATGGTCATCAAGTTGGGGGCCTGAAGATAAGGACAAGGACTCTCGAATAGAGAAAAAGGCTGAGGTCGAGAGGGAAGATGTACATGCTGAGAAGCAGTCTTTTTCCAATAGCAACCGTGCAGCTTCTGAGCGTGATAGTGATTCTCGTGATAAATGGAGGCCGCGCCATCGGATAGAGGTTCAACCAGCTGGGGCAGCCCTATATCGTGCTGCACCAGGATTTGGGATGGCTCGAGGGCGTGTGGAAAAAGTAGGATTTGCTGCTGGACGAGGGAGGTCTAACATTGGATGCCTACAGATTGGCAAACCTGTTCTTGGAAAATCTGGCCGTTTTGCTGATATGTATTGCTATCCCAGAGGAAAGCTCCTTGATATTTATCGCAAGCAAAAGAAGGATTCAACTTTTGATATTATGCCTGATGGGATGGAGCATGTGTCACCAATAACCCAAGTGGGCTCAATTGAGCCATTGGCTTTTGTTGCACCTGATGCAGAGGAAGAGGTATATGGATTATGTTGTTAAATATTTATTTAAATATTCACACATAGATGTATATAGAAATCTTGACATGCTTACTATCCATAAGGAATTGCTCTGAAGTTATCTTGGTTTAACAAGCAAGCACCGACTTGTTTCTCTGTCCACCATTAACTACTGATGTGATGCTTTCAGGTTGGTCTGGGAGATATATTGAAGGGAAGAATTACTAGCAGTGAAGTGGTATGCAACTCGTCTGGGGACAAGAATGTATTAAATGAAGATGCTAAGGGTAGATAAGTTGCATTTTGTGGGACTCTTGTGTATTATCCTTATCATTTTTCTTTTTCTGATGCTAGTTTTTTCCACCTATTCAGGATCTAGCAATGTCACTTTAAGCAAGGAGGAAGGACACTTTGCAGCTAACCCGGAACAAAATGTCCAATCTGCTGAAGAGTTCATTTTGAACAATTCTTTTCCAGTTACTGGCGCTGAGGTGTCACCTATTTGTGGCGTACAAACACATATGTTAAAGGGTAAGGAAAAACTTTTGTAGAACTTATCTTTCTTTCCGGTTCGTTTAAACTATTGGTATTACTGCTTCTTGTATTTTAATGCATTGTTTACACTTTCTCTAGAATGTATTGCTACTGAAGGTGAGCAGAAAGTTCTGACGGTCACAGCGGCGGCAGATAGGGAGATTGGTCCTAGTAATGATGATGCTAACTCAAGAAGTTCAGGGTGCCAGGAGGTAGGAGATTTTGGTCTCTTGAAGCATCCTTTGTTGGACTGCTTTAAATTTGATACGGTTTAAGTTGATTGCGAGTTTCCTGACGATTCAAGTTCCCTTTTCATTTTCCATTTTTCAGCAAACCTCAAGCAGTGATCATCACTATTTCAAGAGCAATGAGGACGCGCTTCTATTGGAAAGAATTGTCTCACCTGAGGATATGAGTTTGTGCTACCTTGATCCTCAAGGGAATATCCAGGGGCCTTTCCTGGGGATCGATATAATTGCATGGTTTGAGCAAGGATTTTTTGGAATTGATTTGCCAATTCGTTCATTTGATGCGCCCAATGGATCTCCTTTCCAAGAACTTGGTGAAGTGATGCCACATCTGAAAACTAAATCTGGGCCTGTCTCTGACTCTAGTTTGCCTACTCAATTAGAGCCATTGGGTGCTGTTGGAGGCAGCTTGGACGAGAGAATATCTGCTCCTAACTATGATGGGGGGTCTGCTATTCTAAACAATCAAGGCATTCAGAATGTTGTTGCAGAAGATGAGGGTGTGTTGTGTTTCTTGTTTTTACTTTTCTATATTATTGTTTATGTCTACTACATTGTTACTTTAATGGCTTCTTTCTTTTTGGTTTGTACAGAAATTGTATTTCCTGGAAGGTCTAAGGGCAGCGGTGATTGCCTTTTAAGGTCTTCACCTGACATTCATGGCTCATTTGCAAATCCTCCCAGCCTTCATTCCCCTGCAAATGAAGTTTCAGAAACTAACGTCCCTGATCAGCTGGACGATAAGCTGCATCCTTTTGGCCTGTTGATGTCAGAGCTCAGAGGCAACTCACTTTTAAGGCCTGCTCAATCATCTCATTCATTTTTCGGCATGGATGATCAGGTTCCTTTTAGAGATACCTTCATTGGAGGTGCCACTGTTGCTAATCAGGATTCCCTTGGTGCCATGATTGATCAACCTTCCTTTGTGGAGACATGGCCGGATAATTATATAAAAAATAACACCAATGTTAGTCTGGGTTCTATAGATTCTCCCCATTTACCTCACATGGGGCAAGCAAGCAATGGCTTTGACCCAGCAGAGCATATAATGTCACAGAAGTTACTAAAAGAACAGCTTCAGCAGCTGAACCATCTTTCTCCATTTACTGTTGCACAAAGTGCAGGAACAGGAGTGGACCGGTTCCCTGGATTTGGTTTTTCTGACAGCAAGAACCCTAATATCCAGCCGTCATTCCATCATCCAGTGGCAGATATGGAACATATTTTTGAAATGCAGCATCAGCAGCAGCGTCAGTTGGAGCTTCATCAGCAGCAACACCAGTTGGAGCTTCAGCAACAGCAGCGTAAGTTGGAGCGTCAGCAACAGCAGCGTTGGTTGGAGCTTCAGGAACACCAGCGTCAGTTGGAGCTTCAGGAACACCAGCGTCAGTTGGAGATTCAGCGCCAGCGTCAGTTGGAGCTGCAGCACCACCGTCAATTGGAGCTTCAGCAGCAGCAGCGTCAGCTGGAGCTTCAGCAACAGCGTCACTTGCAGGATCAACTTCACCAACAACAAATGAAATTGCAGCAACAACAGAAATCTCAAGCTCAACACTTGCTCCTTGAACAGTTTTTGCATCAACAGATGTCCGATTCTGTTTATGGGCAGTGGAAGGCAGATGCTACAAGAGGCAACCCTTTCGATCATTTACATTCAAGGAAGCACCTTCTAGATGACTTGCACCAGATGTCCCATTCCTCGAGGCATGATCCATTATTAGAGCACATCATCCAAGCAAATATAGGACGCCCGGGACAGACTGATTTCTTTGACCTCATATCTCAGGCGAAGCAAGGGAATATGCACACTTCAGAGCTGCAACCTCGTCTTCAGCAGCACGAGCTGCAGGCACAGCAGTTGTCCGCAGCATTGAGAGAGCAACTGCGGATGGAAGGGGAAAGGCGTATCGGTGCGACCCGGTTTGTAGATGAAGCAAGCCAAATTGTTAGGGATCCTGTTGCTCATCACCAGGCTCAGATGGTAGGATTTAGTTCTTCAGAAAATTACCAGAAACTTCCCACCCATGAACCGCAACTAAGCCATCTCAACTGGAATCATGCCATACGGGAGCGACTGCAGGGAGGATTCTACGAACCTAACTCTCTGGAATTTGAGAAGTCATCTGTTCCTGCTAGTTCGCTTGGGATGAACTTGGATATTCTCAGTGCACGTGGGCAGGGTCTGGATGAGTTTTATTCGTCTCATCCAGTTGGTTTGGAGCACTTGCCTTTTGGGAACAATGGACATCTGGAAGATGGCTTCACTGAAGCACTTAAACCGCATTCGCATCTTCATGCCGAGCAAACCCGCCGAGACTCAGAAGCTGCCATGGCTTTTTCTGATGCAAATATATGGTCTTCATCCGATGGTGATAAAGAACACTCAAAACAAATTTTTATGGACCTTCACCAAAAAATTGGTCAATCTACACGGTTATCAGAAATTGATTATCAGCATCACCTGTCATCTTCTAGAAGCCGGGGAGAATCTGCACATCATCCATTTAGTCTTCTCCCTGATCAAGCGGTTATGAACAACTCTTTCACGGAAGGGCCCTTTACATCTAATCCCAGAGCATTTATGGAAGATTTATCAGAGTTGGAAGGAAATAATTGGAAGAAGCAGGTTGTGAAAAGCTATGAAGGCAACATGGTAGAACAAGAAGAAACATCAAGGGAACTTCATAGTAATGCCCATAGCAGGCAGAGTTCACTTAGCAGTGCTGGTAATTTGTCAAATAATCTTATTTCTTAGTTAGTTTCATCTTTATTTTGGACGAGTTTCAAACTCTTTTGATGGTACAGGGGGAGGTGGGAGTTTTTACAGCTCTGAGACAGGAATAGAAAAACCGCTTGGAGAAGAGGTTTCTAATGGGAGGTAATTTTCTGTTCTTTTTCCTTTTTATCTGCAGTACTATTATTCGAATGTGTGCGCGCATCATTTTGAACATCTGGTATTCTCGAGTGATGTGCTTTTAGCTGGTTCATTGCGATATGGCCAGTTTTATTTCATTGCCTATATATTGCATGCATACTATTGCTGTAGTGTGCACATAAAGATATTTCCCAATAGTTTTGCACGTTCCGAGTTCTAAGATAGTCGGTCTCATTGTATTTCCTGATGGTACATTGACAGGCTGCCTTCTACTGTAACCAAAGGGTACGACAATGCTTTGCATAGACGCCGGGTTGTATCTTCCCAGGACGTTTTGTCTGAGGCAGCACTTTCTTTGCCTGTTAAACAAAGAAATCCAGCTGCAACCCAGGTCTCTGAAACGCAAGCATCTAGCAAGAATGATGCGCAATTTAGGAGGACTTCGTCTTACAGTGACGCTTCTGTGTCCGAGGCATCATTCATAGACATGCTTAAGAAACCAGTCATTTCAGAGGCTGATGCATCCAACAGAGCAGTGGCACTGGAGTCGTCTGATGGAGGTGGCCAGGCAGGGCGGACTGGCAAAAAGAAAGGGAAGAAAGGAAGACAGATTGATCCTGCTCTCCTCGGCTTTAAGGTTTCCAGCAACCGGATCTTGATGGGCGAGATCCATCGCCTTAATGATTGATGCATAGTTTTCTCAGATTTAGGAGACATATAGTGATCTCAGATTTTTTCGCTCCCGGCGTAAAAACTGTAGAGCTAATTTAAGAGACATAGTTTTCCAATCCTCTGGATTCCAAGGTAGACCGTGTACAGAGTTTTTTAACCGTTGCGGTGATTGACCGGATGCATAATGTAAAAGGAGAAACAAAGTTCGCTGATAAATGTCAATTTTTGTACGAGAGAATCAAAAATTTTATTTGACACCAATTTCCCTTGATTTCTTTTCTTTTCCTTTATTATTATTATCATTATTTATTTATTTATTTATTTATCTTACTTTTTTGGTGAGCCGGCGTCAGAATTATAAAAACACGAAAATTTATATACTGCATTCAGTGTTTAAAATATCCTTGAAAGTGTAAGTATCTATGCCGAAATATTCGAAAAATGAAAGATTGATATGGAAAGGTGATGAAATGCAAACTCCATCTTATATTGGTGAGATATAAGATCATCAATGAATATCAACGATATGATTAGACAATGACTTATGTATGAATTTTCAAAATTGGCTAAATATCGCGAGTGTTAACCTACATTTTTTTAATCAAAAATACAAATTATTTATTTTCGCTAAATATTTTCCATGAGCATTAAAGAAAACTTTATAAGATATTTGAAAGCGGTTTTATGGTTTAATGAGCAATAAATGTAAATGTGGTATAATATTTAAGCCGAAAACTAAAACAATAAGTGAAAAATATAGTAGTGAGGCCCAAAACATTGTTAAAATAGGGTTCCACCCACAAGAGTATCAACATAAAGTCTTTCTTTAATTTTCAAAACTTCACGGTGAGATTAAGGTGAAAAAAATTGTTTGAACCATGATTTATGTACCAATTTGCAAAATAGACTAAAACCTGTGAGTGTTTTCCCATGTTTATTTTCTTAACTGCATATTCTTTTATTCTCGAGAAATATTCTCTATGGCATTAAGGAAAACTTTATAAGGCATTTTGGAAGCGGTTTTATGATTTATTGAGTTACAAATGTATACGTAGAAATGTAAATTCCGTTGCATGCAAATGATGCATCACAAAGCTCAATGTGGCATATGACTCTTCACAAATGGACAAGTCATCAATAACATGTGGCACAAATCAAGCAAAGGAAGCTAAAAAGCATTCCTAAAATGCGGCAAAGGGGAAGAAATCTCCTTAAAATCGGCAAGGGGCCCAAATTGCTCCCAAAACTGGAAAGAAAGCTAAAGCATCTTCACAAAACAAGCAAGAATTGAAGATTGCTCGCAAAATAGGCAAGAAAGCCCTATAGATTTCGGCCAAGCAAGGGAAATTGGCTGAAATTAAGACACAAAACATGCCTAAATTCTCCCATGGACGAATCAAGATACAAATCAAAGCCAAATCCATCCAAAGGCAAGCTTTGAGAAGTCTATAAATACAAGGTCCAGACAAGTATAAAGGTCAACAATTTCTACATTGAAGGGTCGAAATTCTCACAAAAGGAGAACCTCTACCAAATCTTTGAAGACTAATACCAAAGCTTTCTTCGAAGAACGTACAACCAAAGTTGAAGCTTTATTTCGACCAAAGCCGAAGCATTCCCTTGAAGAATCAACAAGCATTTGTGCCGATTCCTTCAAGACTTTGTTGCAAGCTTAAAACTTGAACGATGTTCAATTAAAGATCAAGTCACCAAGACCCTTGAATCAACAAAATCCCACATCAACATCACCTTTGCAGCAGGTCATACACAAACCTAGAGGTGAAGACTATCCACTCATTGTTTCAAGCTCAAAACTTGAAGCAATCGTTCAATCGTTCGCACAAGATCAAATCATTACAAACCTTGGATCAACAACCTACGCAACTACATCAAATTTGAAGATTGAATCAGAGGAAAATTGTAAACAGAGATTGTAACCTTACAAATTCATCAATACAAATCTACTTTGTACACGCATTCTCGTTTCATTCGTTACAGAATTTTCGTGTTTACAATATATTCAATAGAATATTTAAAGAAAATAAATGTGCCAAATTCTTGTGGACGGCAGAAGGTCACCTGTCACCCATGACTTTTGGCACCCTCAAGAATTTTTAAGGCATTTGAAAGTGGTTTTATGGTTTAATGAGCAAGACATGTATATTTAGTATAATATTTAAGCCGAAAGCTAAGAAAATAAGTGGAAAATATAGTAGTGAGACCAAAAAAATTGTTAAAATGGGGTTTCACCCTCAACAATGTAATCACAAAAAGTCTTACTTTAATTTTCAAAACTTCACGGTGAGGCATAAGTGGAAACAAAGAGTCTGAACGATGATTTATTTACTAATTTGCAAAACCGACTAAAAACCGTGAGTGTTAAACCCATGTTTTTTTTGTAAAAAATGCAAATTTTTTATTTTCGCAAAATATTTTTCATGAGCATTAAGGAGAAGTTTATAAGGTGTTTGAAAGCGGTTTTATGATTTATTGAGCAACAAATGTATATTTAGTAGAATATTTAAGCCGAAAACTAAAAAAATAAATGAAAAATACAATATTGAGGACCAAAACATTGTCAAATGGGATTCCACCCTCAAGAATCTCAACGGAAAGTCTTACCTTACTTTTCAAAATTTCACAGTTAGGCGAAGGTGAAAATAAATAAATTGAACAATGATTTATGTACGAATTTCCAAAATCGACTAAAAAAGTGTTAACCCATGTTTTTTTTGGTCAAAAATGCAAATTTCACGGTGAGCAAAAAATAAATAGATTGAACGATAATTTATGTAGGAATTTGCAAAATCGACTAAAAACCGTGAGTGTTAATCCACTTTTTTTTGGTCAAAAATGGAAATATTTTATGCAAGCATTAAGAAAAACTTTATAAAGTATTTGGAAGCAGATTTACGATTTATTGAACAAAAATCGTATCTTTTGGTTGACAAAGAGGGTTTTATTATTATGGAGTTTAGAGTTAGATAAAAGAAAAATTAACAAAAAGGAAATGTTCAAATATCTTTAAATTTAGGTTTTAAATCGTTGATTACAAGTGTTTAAATATGAATTATAATAGATTTTGCACCAGAAAATATATTTTGAAGACATGAATATGATAGTTTGTTATAGTGGCAAGAGAAATAAAAGAAAAATTAACAAAAATGTACAAAAATGATTCAAATTTTTGAGGCACGCATACCTTTCTGGCACCTTCAAGAATTTGAATCTTTTTTGTACATTTTTGTACATTTTTTTTTTATTTCTCTTGCCACTGCAATAAACTATCATATTCATATTCTTCAAAATCTATTTTTCCGTGCGTAGAGCCTGACTTGTTTTTTGAGCACCTGGGTGTCACATCCCGGCCCGGGGCGCACCACTTCCCGAGCCCGCTCCACCACCGTAGCACGATATTGTCCGCTTTGGGCCCCGACCACGCCCTCACGGTTTTGTTTCTGGGAACTCACACGAGAACTTCCCGATGGGTCACCCATCCTGGGAATGCTCTCGCGCGCTACTCGCTTAACTTCGGAGTTCCTACGGAACCCAAAGCCAGTGAGCTCCCAAAAGGCCTCGTGCTAGGTAAGGATGAGAATATACATATAAGGATCACCCCTGGGCGATGTGGGATGTCACAATCCACCCCCCTTAGGGGCCCGACGTCCTCGTCGGCACACACGCGACCAAGGTTAGGCTCTGATACCAAATTGTCACATCCCGGCCCGGGGTGCACCACTTCCCGAGCCCGCTCCACCACCGTAGCACGATATTGTCCGCTTTGGGCTTACCATTCCCTCACGGTTTTGTTTCTGGGAACTCACACGAGAACTTCCCGATGGGTCACCCATCCTGGGAATGCTCTCGCGCCCTACTCGCTTAACTTCGGAGTTCCTACGGAACCCAAAGCCAGTGAGCTCCCAAAAGGCCTCGTGCTAGGTAAGGATGGGAATATACATATAAGGATCACCCCTGGGCGATGTGGGATGTCACACTGGGAGTTCGCCTCGTTCTGCATGCACGAAGCCCGCCTCCTGTTGTAATTTATGTACGAATTTGCAAACAGCCCCCCTTCCTTTATTTAAATGCAAATTTTTTAAGGCATTTGGAAGTGGTTTTATAGTTTAATGAGCAAGAAATGTATATTTAGTACAAATTTTTTTTGGCTTATTATATTCACTTCCCACAAATTGTTGAATAAACCATACGTACTTAATACACCCCACATTTACTTTTTCAATTAAAAATTATCTTTATACACCCCACATACTTCTCCATAATAGCTTCACACCCCCACATTCTCAAAACACACGTAATATTTCTATATACACCCCAATTTCTTCAAATTTTAGAATACTCATTTTTAATTTTGATGGATTGAATCTAAATACCCTGCTGTTCCCAGGCTAATTTTGAGCTTGAATCATTAACCGCGTTGGACGCTAACACTTATCTTAAATTTGTTTATCTTTGTGTAGATTGGAAAATCTTATGTCACTTCCAAACTCAAGATGTCACATCCCGGCCCGGGGCGAAACCACTTCCCGAGCCTGACTCCATTACCGTAGCACGATATTGTCCGCTTTGGGCTTACCATTCCCTCACGGTTTTGTTTTTGGGAACTCACGAGCAACTTCCCAGTGAGTCACCCATCATTGGATTGTTCTAGCCCCCTTCTCACTTAACTTCGGAGTTCCTACGGAACCCGAAGCCAGTGAGCTCCCAAAAGGCCTCGTACTAGGTAGGGATGGGAACATACATTTAAGGATCACTCCCCTGGACGATGTGGGATGTCACAATCCATCCCCCTTAGGGGCCCGACGTCCTCGTCGGCACACTCGCGACCAGGGTTAGGCTCTGATACCAAACTGACACACCCCGACCCAGAAAGTCCACTTGGACCTTGAATCGAGTTGTGCTGGCCGACACCTGGAAGGTGACGAAGCCATAAAATGTGATAGTGTATAAAAAGTGAATGAATTTGAATCTAAAAGTGTCTAAATACCAGAGTGCGCTACGAGTGGGAGCGAACCCATTTCACACGCGATGTCAGAGCATAAGTAAGGTACAGTAATGTGGGTAAGAATCATACCCTCAAAAATATCCATCAATACTAAGATTCGCCACAGATTCTTGTCGATACAAACTTAGCAGCTAAAACTTGGAAGGCACCAAACAGAAGGTGTGAGTAAGCAATAAAACCAAGCTTCCCAAAGTTACTACCTCTCTAAAAGTAATGCCCCTAAATGTAAAACCCGTATCGTTTTCCAT